GTTCTACAAAAATTCAAAGGACCAGACAGGACAGCACTATGTGGGTCAGATTGTGCCTTTCAATTTTTGAGTGGGTGCAGAATTGCTGCACAGTAGTGAGATTCTGAGAAGCACAGGCTAAAGCAGCAGTTTCCCTCTTCCCTTTCCCCACTCTCTCTCTGCCTTGTGTTAGGGTTTCCATCCCAGAGAGCTTACAGGCTATGTTTTCAGTCTTTGTTCTCCTCTCTTAAATGGTTGAGTGGTGGGAACACTTACATTTTATAGGCAGTCCTTTGCTTATGTTGTGATTTTTAATGTATGGGATAGACACCTAGAACACTGGATGGATACCTACAGTTGTATTTTGGACATCTGAAGAAACAAATACATAAAATAAATGCATGTATTTGGTCAAAAGCACATGCATATTTCTGGCATGCTATAAAAATTATTTGTTTATTTAATAAACAGAGCAAAGGATTTTATCATTCTAAACCATACCTGGATGTCTCAATGCAGAAAATCCCTGCTCATGATGATTCCATTGCCACTCTTCACTCTCATTGGCTGGCATTTGTAAGAGGTCAGGGATTCGCCCACCCATGGGGATGTTGAAATATGGCTCTTTGTCATAACTGGGGAGGAGATAGAGAAGAAAAAGCTCCTATTAGGATTTCTGATGTTTAGCACAGAGGGAGTCACTACCACATGCCTGCAGCATTGAGTACCAGAAAGGAACATGGCCTCCAAGATCATGATGAGCAAATGTAATCATTATACCACTAGTCTTGAATGCAAAGAAGAGCAAAACTTTAGCCCACTGCCCTGCAGATAGGCTGTGGCATCTGGGATTATACTTCAAATTCACTACTTCTTTTTACAGTTTTTTTTGTACAGTTGCTGTGTATAATTTCTTTAAAATTACAGCGCCAAAACTTGGCAGGCATGAGCACCTAGTGATGTTATTTAGGAATCAAGGGCACTCCAAGGATCAGGCCCCTTGAAATAAATGGGAGCTGTAGGTATTAAGCACTCTGCAGGATTTGGATCATTGTATTTTGTTCTGGGGGAAGGTACCAGGCTGAGGTCCTGAAAAATGATTTCCTGCAGTTATTTGTAGAAAGTGACCAGCACTGGTAGCATCTGTGCAGGTTTTCTCACACCACCACTATGGATAGAAGGATGGTTCAGTTTCTGTGGGCCATTCAGGCTTGGCCTCTCTGCTGAGAGTCACCCGTATGTGTATTATGTGGTAAGAACATTTGCACACTAGAAACTGGATTGAGATGCTCCAACTTGTTTCACCTAGGCCACAGAGCACCACAAGCTCTTCAGATGCTTTACCTTTTCTAAAGCACAAAGTTTCACAGACACCAGCAGGGTCATGGCATTGCCTGTCTTGCTTCAGAACTGTCTATAAAGAGTCTTATGCAGGCAGTCAAGGGGTATCCAAATGACACAGTGCTGCAATCCATTCAGATTAAGGTGGATGCAGAGAACAGTGTTTCCCCAAATACCTCCCTCCTCCTCTGCTGCCTTGAATTTATGCCATCTGTGCAGGATTCCCAGTGTTAATCTGAGTGTCATATTTAAAGTGATCCAAAGTATTATCTCCCCATAAAAGAAGCCTTGTTTACCCATTGAAACAGTTTCCTGTCTGTGGGTCGCAGTCTCTGGCACAGTCACAAGGCCGACAGCCATTTTCTCCAAAGCCCCAGTATCCCATGAGGCATCTGTCACAGTTCGGGCCTGTCACACCTGGCTTGCAGTAACAGAAGCCCGTCTTTGGGTGGCACCGCCAGCTTCTGCTGAAGGTTGCATTGGTCGATCCCATAGGCTGACAGGAGCAAGCTAACAAGACATAAGTGATTGAGATGATAGGCCAAGAGTCAGCAGTTTAGGTGATGTTTCTGCAAGGCTGATAACCTTTATAGGTCCCACTCATTCCCAACAGCCAGTCATTTTATATAAGCACTGGGAAACATTATACTCTTACCCAGCTATGGTTCAAAATAGAAATTTTCAGCATGGGTGGGTGGTTGTCTCATTCAGCATAGCCATGGATTCAAAACAAAACCCAAGCTGCTAAATGGTCACCTGACACCAATGTAGGTGTGAGCGCCATTTCCTGTGGGCCAAATCTTTACCTTGACACCAATCTCAAATAAAGAATGTTAAACAGCTGTGCAGTAACCTGTGTGACTGTGTGCATTCACTCTGCAAGGAGGAGGGAGGGATTGGCAAGTGAATTTGCAAAGCACTTAGCTGGGCTGCTATGGATAGGGTCCCACATGCATACCTTACCAGAAGGGCTTCCCATTTAACCCATCTGTGAACATGCCTTTTGGACTGTGGCTGTATGCTCTGGGGTTGTGTCTAGACTCCATCCCCCTGCCGAAAGAGGGATGCAAATCAAGCACTTTGGAAGTACTAATGAGCCCAGGATTTAAATATCCCGGGCTTCATTTGCATACTCACGTTCCGACGCTGTGCCGATCGGGCTCAGTGTCGAAAGTGAAAGTAAAGCGTAGCCGCGGTTCTGCCACGTTTCTGCCAAGAGCAGGGACTTTTTCGGCAGATCCTGTACTCATCAAAAAATGAGTACAGGATCTGCTGAAAAAGCCCCTGCTGCTGGCAGAAACGCGGCAGAACCGCGGCTACACTTTACTTTCACTTTCGACACTGAGCCCGATCGGCACAGCGTCGGAACGTGAGTATGCAAATGAAGCCCGGGATATTTAAATCCTGGGCTCATTTGTACTTCCAAAGTGCTTGATTTGCATCCCTCTGTCGGCAGAGGGATGCAGTCTAGACACAGCCTGGGTGGGAATGATTTGCCTATTGAGTGTGTCTACTATAAAATTATATTGATCTGTCATAGTCTTCTATTCAGGCACAAAGGCCTCCCAGTTGCCAATTGTGCTTCACACTTGCACCCAAAGCGACAACAACATGTTATTGCAGTGCAAGGGATACTTTTACCACAGTGAGCAGTATAATAGTGCCCAAACATTCAGAGTGTGTAGACAGCAAAGAAAGAGGATTTGCTAGTGTGATACATGAGGGGATGCTCAAAGAAATGAGAAGAAAACAAGACAATAATTGAGGCTGTAGATCAGGCTAAATTGGCTCCCCTTGGTAGAGCTGGAATTCCCACTGCCAGGTATGTTTAAAACTCTAGTAAAAGTGTACACCAGGAAAAGCACTTCTGCACTGGCCAAGGGAGACAGACCAGATAACCTCATAGGCCTTTTCCATCTCTAGATTTGAGGCGTCCATGATTCTGCTTTAGTGAGAGCTGTAGGGACCTAGGTTCTCTTTCCAGTGCTACAAATGTGGTATAGCCAGGAAACATGAAGTTTGCATGCATACCTAAGTGGATATATTACAAGAGAGAGCTTTCCAAACCCTCTGAACATATTTCAGCTGTGACTGTCATCTGCTGAGGTCAGCAAGAGAGGGGCCAGAAGCACCAGGTGCCATTTCAAATCCAGTCCTGGCATACTTGATTCTGATGCCTGATTCTGGTGCCATTTTAACACCATCCCTTCCATATTTTAGAGCAGGGGTTCTCAAACTTTGTGATACCATGACCCCCCTCTAAGTTGCTTGTGACCCCCCCAGGGGGTCGGGACCCACAGTTTGAGAAACGCAGCTTTACAGTACTTTGGAGGCTGCTGTAGATTGACTGGCTATGGCCTTCAAGGGCTATGCCAGCTACTACAGTTTGGAGCTTAACAGTATTCTGGCTATGCCCTTAAAGTCTCTATGCCAGGGGCTTTGGGGAATGGGTGAGGTCACAGCTGACTGTTGGTTGTGCATTACCTGAGACATCGTTCCACCAGTCTGCTAGCCCCTTTGTGCTGTCAGGGCAGCTCTACCAGGCTGGATCACAAGAGAGGATCTGGCCCGCTCACTTCTGATGCATGAATAGGTTTGGGTAAATGGAGAAGTGAGCTGACTCTTTGCCCCAAACTCAGGTCCAGCTCATACTTTAGCTCCTTTTCATTGCTGAACATTGTGGCACCTCTTGATTTCTGCTGTCCCCAAAGCCAGAAGTGCCAGCTCGACTCCATCCTCCTGTGAGAAGGAAGAAGCAAAAATCTTGGGGACGTGACCTATTTCCAGAGAGACATTGGACACCCAAGATAGTTTGGATCAAGGGCCAGCCTTCGGAATGATTATCTTTATTTCAACCCTTTTGAAGTTTGCCAGTCACTACTAATTGAACATCTTTTCTTCCTGAGCTCACAGATAGGAGATCAAATGGACACACTGATTCCACACATGCCTTTCCAAGAAGGGGACTCTATGAAGAATGCAATTGTTATTGATTCACTTTTATGTGACTAGTGTTTGTTTTTTAGAAAGGACAATCTCTTTGTGGAGTACTTACAAGAAGTGAAAAAACAGTGCCCAGCAGCTTGTGTAATGGGCAGTTTTCTTGTGATCGTCTATTAGATTTTTTTCACCCTGTCCTAGTTATCTTCTGCATGCTCACATTTTTACTAATATTAATGTATTGTGCAATAGAAGAAACCTATTCAGTTGTTTTCAAGGGAATACCAGCACAATAGCCTAAAGACAGAAAATAAGCATGCTATAATGAATACTGTGTTCCACACAAGGAGCTTTGTTAGTGGCACAGTAGCACCAGGCTCTGCTGCTGCTGCCACACAGGTGTCTTGAGTCTGGGAGCAATTGGAGGGCTGTTGTTCACTAGGATTTGAAAATCAGATGTAACATCATAGTGCACATTTGCCCCAATGTTTCAAACATCAACTTTCCTGTAGATTTTCAGAAATGCTCAACCCCACTCAAAAATGGAGGTATCTAATACATGTTGACATTATTTATAATGTTGTCTTTGGTCTTTGGACATGAGAAATGGATGCTTTCCTCATTAGAGATTTTGGGACAAAAAAAATCCAAACTTTGTTGAAATCTGGATGTGTCCGAATCTTTGTTCTTGATTTCCCTTATGATATCATTTGGATCGGGAGTTTTAGTTTGGATCTATCTCTAGCCTTTACAGATTGTTCTGTCTCATCTCTTGTCTTTCCAGGTTTCCATAGCTGAAGCCAGATCCTCAGCTGGTGCAAATTAATGTCGCTCCAATGATGCTACACTGGCTTACACCAGCTGAGGACAGGATGTCTGATACATGGAGAATGTGAATTCCACCATCACAGCCAAAGGGAAAGTGCTACAGGTGGGTGGTGATTTCTAGCAGAGGCCAAGAAGGAAGGTAGAAAAAAGTGCACATATTTAATTCAAGCATATAGCTAAGGAAAGTATGAACCTGAGTGTCAGAGGCTGAAGGGCAGCTGTTGATAACCAGGTTTTAGATGTCAAATGACATCACAGATTTGATGATAAATCTCATAATTAAGAAACATAAGTAAGTTCTTACAAACTGAAGTTTTTGTATTTCCCAGTGTTTGAAAGCCAATGTCTTTCTCTGCTTCTTTTTGCTCTTTTTTTAAACCCTAGTTTTTGATTTATCCACCTCTATTTCTAATGAAACAAACCAACATGATGATGGGTGGATTCCCTCCTTTTTGTCAAAGGCTCCTAAGGACAGTGGACAAACAATTGTGGCACAGAGCTGGCTAGTTTATTTGGGTCCTTCTCTTTAAAGCAGCAAAGTATTTGCACACAAAATATTATTTAGTTGTGTCTTAAGAGATGTTAGTTGCTGAAGTATCACAAATGTCCACTTGGATTTTTACTGGCAGTTGCTATCATAAGATTTTTGCCTGGATGCAGCTGGTAGAGAGGGAACCAAGGAATGAAAATAGTCATAAAGCAGATAAATATTTGGTCTCAGCACAGCTGTCTCCAGCTGTATCTTCATTAGATACAGATGTTAACTATAATATCGTTTGCACTAATGTGGTTCTAACCAACACAGATATAACAGGGATATAGTACTCCAATTAATTCACAAGTAAGGGACTTTAGGGGCATGTCTGCACTGCTGTTAAAAGCCCAGAGATGGCCCATGTCAGCTGACTTGGGCTCATGGGGCTTGGGTTATTAGATGTTGTTTAATTCTAGTGTAGATGCTTTGGCTCTAGGACCCTGAGAGGTGGGAGGGTGCGAGGCCATAAGCTGTAGCCTGAGCCTGAGGCCAAATCTACAGTACCATGGACCGTCAACTTAAGTTACATAACTTCCGCTATGCGAATAACATACCTGAAGTCAATGTACTTGAGTCTCCTTACCATGGTAAGTCTTCACTGTGGTAAGCCAACAGCTGCTGCTCTCCCGTTGACTCCGCTTTCACTTCTCATTCTGGTGGAGCCGGAGTCGAGAGGAGAGCGCTTGGCGGTTGTCAACCCCCACTGGATCAATCGCTGCCCATCAATCCAGCCTGTAGTGCAGACATGCCCTAACTATCTATCCCACAGTTAAACAGCCCCTTAGCCTGAACCCTAGTCAGCTGGCCAGCGGGCCAGCTGGGGGGGTTTTGATTGCAGTGTAGACATACCATCAAAAATAATGAACCTTTAATTTCTGTCTGAAACTACTATGCAAAACAGTTAACAGCAGATTCAATCTTTTCCAGGAAAAAAAGGCAAATTAAAAAAAAAATCCAAATTGGAGTCTTTGGTGGGTAGAATATATTCCCAACCAAATTCAAACAGTTTTTAAAACAGGTCAAATTTTGGGCCAAAACCATTCAACAATGCCCCATAAATCAAGGAAATTGGATACTCTCCTGGCTGTGTGTGGGCATGCTCACCCTGTGCCTGACTGACTGGGATTGTGACTCCGATGAAGATGTGATTAATCCCAGCTATTACAACAGGACGGTTCACAGATCTGTCTAGCGGGGAAAAGAGGAAGGGAAGGAACAGCTTTGTCGATGGTGTGCGTGCAGGCACGCACACACTCATTTTAGTTTCCAAGCTGTCTGCTTGAGTGTAAAAAGCCCATTTCCCTGGAGACGTTGGCCTGATGGATAAGCAAAGGGTGAGTACAAAAGATGGTGTCAGTTCAGAAGTATCCTTTAAGCCTCCAAATAAGCCACAGGAAAGAGCCAAGGATACAGCAGCTTTTCTGACCACTGGTTGGGAAACTATTAGGCTTCACGAGGCTTCTGAGTCAAAGCTCCCGTACAAGCCTATATCCAAACTGCTTAATCCTGTGTTGTCACCCTCGATAACAAGCAGGTGTGTGCTGTGCTCTCTGGCTCTTTTCATGTCTTTTTTTTTTTAATCTAAGCAATGTCAAAACAAGGCTCTGTGCGTGACCTGACTCCCATTCATCCCCAGCTGCTAGGAATGGTAGAAGTGAAGAGGTCAGCGATCTCTCCAGATAAAAAGAAATGGCAGAATCCTATTTACATGTTAAAGCTCAGTTGTTGTTTTTTTTTAAAGCAAAAGTCTTTTCCATCTCATAAATGGAGAAATCAGAGAAGAGGGATAGCATCAGTGCAGCCAGTTGTTATACAACCCTTTTTCTTCCCCTTGCAGTGATTAAGAAAGAATGCTGCCGATTATTATGACTAATGCCTAAAGATTTCTTCTGGGCCCAAGCAGAGCCCTGCTAACATTTTGGAAGCTGGAGGGAGCTGTAGTAGCTTAACTTAGGCTTTGCGCTGGACAGAAGAGCACTCTCTTAAAGCATGATTTCTCACAGGGCTTAAAACAGCATTTCATTCAGTTTTTCTGTCAGCTTTCATTTCCCAGCTCAGCGTCTACTGTATATACAGGGTGAGCTTTAATCCCCTGGTGAAGTTCTTCTCCCTTCTTCGCCAAGGACCGCACTGCTCACACCAAAAACATCCGAGCCATCTGCCATGACCAATCTGCCATAACTCTCTTCTATCATTTTCTGAGAATATCTGTTTGATTTTGTTCCTCTGGCATTTTTCGCGGAGTTTGCTCAACCAAAATGAGTGTAGGAGATAGTATGTCCAATCCTTCACAAACCCATTCACCCAGACTTGCTTGCTCTTCAGTTCATGGTCAGCTAGCTACAACATGACAGAAATGCACCCGCATAGGAGAAGGCTCATTATGGAATAATTCTTCAGTCCTGTGCCAAGCTTGAGTAAATGCACTTGCATCCAGGGGGATCCTGCGGTGATCAAGGGAATGAACCTTTCCCCCATCAAACCCACTTTTGCTCCACTGAGTATAACGCTCCACTGAGTCTCCTCCCGACAACTGTTGTATCTGTGGAGTAGGGGGGCTCTCTCTACAGTAGAGCTAAACGGTGATAGCCAAACAGTGGGAGATTTCCTAAAAAATTACCTGTGAGCATTTCTGACACCCATACGCCTCTCTGGGAAATTGCAGGAGCCTGAAAAGCTACCCTATAACCATTTTACAGGAATTCTCCCTTCACCTTTACATAAGATAGAAAAGGGCATAGACTAATACCCGGTGAAAATATGTCTCTCTGAAGATGGAATATTTCTCCATACTCCACACAAATGCAACTAAATCAGGGATGAAAGCTTGGGTGGGTGTGAGGAAACTGCCTATCAATTCCTTAGGTCATGATCCAGCAAACAGTTAAGCACTGAGTGTGACTTGAAGTGCGAGTGGCCCCAATGACTTCAGTCACGTGTGCTTACAGTCGTGCATGTGTGTAAGTGCTATGCTGAATTTGTACGGGATGGGAACAGTGGCAGGGAGCCTTCTACTGGCATTAACTACCTTGCTAAGAAACATGCTATTACTGTACTTATAATGCTGGCACTGTAAGAATGGTTTTGTTTGAGCAGGTTATATTTCTGCTTGTTAGACAGCTTCCTCCTGAAATGTTTTCCTATCTGCTTAGCAGAGTCCTGGCAAGATGTGCTGAGAAGATGGGAGCCAGACCAGACGAGAGTTGTAGGTAGGCTCAAGGTCTGATACCATCCTGGCAGTCTGTTCTAGCATGTCCTCACAGATAGGCTGTATTTTTAAATAATGTTTTCTCTTCTCTGCTACTCTCTAATGTTCAAGTATTATCTAACATTGCACACAGTGCTGGTTATTGCACTGTCACCTTGCTGTCAAATACATGAGTGTGTACACTGATTCTTTCTGGTGCTGTACAACTTGAAATCTAATCTACTAGAACAATAATTTATTCTCATTACAAATCTTTGCATATGATAAGTCCTCTCAGTGCAGAAATAAACTAGCAGAAAAATCCCTGGAAAGATGGTCAGCACTGAATACCACAGTGCATGCAGTGAGGGCTAAGAATCGCTGCCTCGTCCTCTGATCCAATGAGTTTTGTTGCAAGGTTAAGAAATCAAAAAGAAAGAATTGGGAGGAGACAGAGCTGGCTCAAATGGCCAATGAAAGCTTCAGAATCAGAAGGCATGTTGTGCACGGAAACGTCAAGCGCTATCGCAGGCCAGCTGGTCCCAGCAAAATGTGCATGTGTAACCCAAGTGTCTAGAGAAACCTGGGTCAAGGCTGTCAAAAGGACAGGAGAATGTCAGGAACAATGGCTGACAATGGGAGTGAACCCAGGTGGCAAAGAAGGCAGTTCTTCTGTGTTGAGGGCTGCTTGCACGGAAGTGGGGGAGGAATCATAATTACATAGGGGAGAGAACAAACTTCTTCCAGAGGCAAAGAAGAGGAAATATGGGGGAAGGGGGTGAAATGAGGGATTATTACATATAGCTACCTTCCTAAGGAATACTAGATGGGATAAATGGTGTGAGATGTGAAAGGGAGCTCAGAGGCTCAAGCTCCCTACCCATCCCCAATAGCCAATGTTCACCTTTGTCTATAGAGAGAACCCATGGCTCATTGGAGCCTCACAGCAGTTAGAAAACAGGCACACAGGTGTGCACACACTGTAGGGACAAATAAACCCAACTAAATAAAATGTGTGCCTCACTAGGATAGGAGCATTTTAAATGCAAACACAACTGGTGCAAACTCTCTAAAATGAAACGGCTTCAGATAATTATTATTTCTTTTAAAATAAGATCATTTGATCATGATCCCACATTGAAATCAGAGTTTGGTGGCAGGGTCAGGAGGAAAGTGTCTTTGATCAGGAAATCAGAGCTGGGAAAGAAGGGTCAGAGGAAAGGATAATGGAGTTATGCTAAATTTCCACAGATATCTATAGATGCTATTAATGGGCTGGAAGGCTCAGCTCATTATGGAATGTGTGGACCTAAACAGCTTTCACAACCCAGTTGTCTGTACTGTATTTGGTTGGACAAACTTACGTTTGCAGACCTCTGGGGAAGACATAGGTTTTCCCAAATCTCTGTAAAATCCTGGTTTGCATCTTTGACACCGATGTCCTTCTGTGTTGTGTTTGCAGTTGTCACACACTCCACCGCTGTGTTTCCCAGATGACAGCCAAACACTCAGGTCGAAGTGGCAGCTATCAGCATGGTTGTGACAGCGACACTCTATTAGGGAGCAGAGAAAGGCATTTCTCACTCACTTTTATAAAGCACAGAGCCGAGAGTGTCCCTCACATGACAGTTTCATTGCAATGAATTTAGGCCCAAATTAATTTATGCCAGACATTTTTCTTTTGCCTGCCTCTCTGGGTTTAGGTTAAAAAGAGAAATATTAAAAACAGAATGAGACTCCTAAAGCCAATTGTTGAGAACTGTGTAATTTAATCTAAGTATCTAAATTTAATTACAGATGGGTTGGACCAAAATCCCAGATCTGAACACTGCCTAACTTTGGGAAAATTAAGATCCAAATGTATATCTAAACTTTGTGGCTTGGACCATCTCTACTTTCCGTGCTGTCCTACTTATTTTCACTTAGAAGACTGAGCCCATTGGCCCCTACCAAATCTATCACTACTATGGCGAGTTGAAACTTTCCTATCAAAACTGTTTTGGGGCGGAAAATTGGGTTTGCAACTCATTTTTTAAAAGAGTCTTTAAAAAACACAAATGCCTGAAAATGGAAATATTTTGACCCAAACCTCAGAGTTTTGATTTGCCTATGCTGCCACAGTGCCTGGTGAAAGTTGTAGTTCAGTTGAATCATGTCCCCAGGGACTGCCTTAAGGAGGTGCAGAGCCTGGGCAGAAATGATGAATACATCACTTCCAGGACCCCTGGGCTAGCCAAATGTGCTGGCCTGTTGAGCCCCCAAAGTACAGAGCCTGACGTGGTTGCCCCAATTTGCCATTCCCCAGGGATGGCTCTGTATATTCCCAGCTGGACTTCATCTTCCATAATGCACCATAGCTTTACGACTCCCAGGATGCACCACTTCCTCTCAACAAGAGGGGAAACCACAGACTTGCTGTTGCAGAGGGGAGGAGGTAGGAGTGGGAAAGGGAGTAGTTGCCCCAGGGCTCAATGATTCAAAGGGAACCCCAGGCCCTTTAAATCATTGCTGGAGTGCTACACCATGTCCTCTGGGAAGTGCTAAGGACTGGGGGGATGGGGCTGCACCATGCTCCAGGCAGCACTGGGCTGGCTCGCCCTTCTGCCCGTGGCCCCACCCCTCTGGGAGTGCAAAGCCGGCCTCCCCCATCTTGCTCAAGGGCCCATGATGCTGTTGGCTCTGCTGGGAAACCATGAAGCAATCCAACCAAGAAGCCCATCTTGTACAGAAGAAAGGGGACATGAGACACCTGAACTACAATCCCTATGAGGCACCGTGACGACATTTTGGAATCAAAATATTTTAATATTTAGTTGAAATATTTTGGTTTTGGACAAAATATTTCAGTTTTTGGCTGAAAGATTTCAGATTTTGATTTTTCACCATATGGTCAACGTTTTCCACAAAACCTCCCATGTTCCAACCAGCTCAAGGCACTCATAATTTTGCTTTTGCAATGCAACTATAATGACAAAAAGATAAAGACTCTTCAGGATTGTTTCAATTTGATCCTACTAAAATTAGTAATTGTTATAACAAACCTGCATCCATCATTAGTAAACTTGAAAGTCCACTTTATTTTCTTAAATTGATCAACTATGACTAGTCTGTTTTGCTCCAGTTAGAACTTCACATTTTGAAATGCTGTTGGCTTTTTTTTTCTCATCCAGTTTAGACTGTAAACTGTTTGGAGCAGCAATGCTATAGTTTGTTTTGTAAAGCACTATGCACACCTTTAGTGTTAGATGAGGAAAAGTGGAGATAGACAGATCTGACCCAGAGTTGGATTCCTCCAAGTTTTGGGGGTTTTTAGATTCAGGGGTTTGGATGAGTCCACCATGGAGACACAGAGACAAGCCATTACATTCTGATTTCAAACCTTTCTGAGCCATAGGATACATCTACACTAGCCCCCTAGATCGAGTTACGGCTTTAAATAGGAACCCCGTTTCACTGCCGTGTGTAGACACGGGCAGTTACTTCGGACTAGTCAATTTCTAAAATGGTGACCGGCCGGGAACATGCAAATCAAGCGCGGGATATTAGCCTCCCTAGATCGATCTAGGGGGCTAGTGTAGAAGTACTCTAAGAGTGCTCAGAACTGGGGTTCTGCTTCAGACCACTACTTAAACAGGAGGTGACCTGTGAAATTTAAATCCAGATTCAAGTTTGGATTCTAATTGTCCCCACACAAATGCCCATGCTTGTTTGAATTGAAGGAATGGGAGAAGAGCTGGAAGTTGGTTCAAAACCATTTCTAGTTATTAATAAATACATAACATAATTCTATAATATAGAATTGGAACCAGCTCAAATTCAGACATTCCTGAAAACTTGTTCCCATGCAGATGCCAAAGGCAGAGATCACTGAACTTTTCTTTTCTCCCCATTAAATTTATCTCCGTAAGCTTTCTTAGACAGCTAAAGCTCTGTAGAGACCTATGCTTGGGAATGGTGAAAGGAATGAGGGACTGTTTCTCTTTGAAGAGCAGAGTTCCATCTTGTATGTTCTATATTGCCATAGATCAAATAGACCAGCAACATTAAAAATACATTAATTGTAAGGATTTTCTAGCAGTTACCTAGCAATTCATTCTCCATATGCTGCAAGTGCATCATAAATCCAAACTGGGTGAATTGTCTATTATAGACCCTTGCCTATTTGGACAGTGATTTATGTTCCTGAGACCCTGAATCATTAAGCTTCCCCCCTACTTACTTCTGCATTCATTGGGTGCCCCAGTTTTTCCATCTCCTGGCTTCCAAGGCTGGTCATTGTATAATGGTGCACACCTCTCACAGTGGTTCCCTGCTGTATTGTGTCTGCACACACACTTCCCATGGACCTGTCAGGGGAAGGAGAATACATTGAAGCAGCTGAAAGGATTAACGCAGCAGAGCACAGCACGGCCTTTGAGTGAGGAGGATTTCACTTGCACAGTTCCTTCTCGCAGCTCCCCCATACTCCCACAAAGCCTACACTGTCTAGAATTTCTCCACATGCAGCTTTATTGCTTGATGAATTTCCTAATAAAGTGGGTTTGCTCTCTGCCCTCCCGTAATGTTGGTGTCTAAAGATTCTAAATGGGTAATAGGGTGTGCCAGACATTTGATGTCCTCCCCTGGAATTATACCTGGCACTTAGAGAGAGCAGTATCGCAGATCTCAAAGTACTTTACAGAGGAAGGCAGTCAGTACCATTCTCCTCATTTAATCCATGGGGAAACTAAGGCACAGAGCAGGTTGGAATTTGCCCCAAATCACCAACAAAGCCAAGAACAGAAACTAGTTCTCCTGAATCCCAGTCCAGTGCTCTAGCCACTAGGTTATGCTGCTTAGGGTAATGGAGGCAAGGTAAAAAAGGGTGGGATGCTTCCTCCAGGAAGGCAATCCCGAGCAAAGATGAGACAAGGGAGGACGGATCTCCTGTCTTAATCCAAAAGCAGAGCTTGGTCAGAGGCTTAATTCTGAATGACTGAGCCAGTGAATGACTGAAGTCATGCCACACTGGCCACCTTTCAGGTGAAAAGAGCGATGACTTCAGACCCTCTAGAGCTTCTAGAGAAGCTACTGAAGATCCACTGCTGGTAGAACCAACAATAATTGATCCATCAGCAGCTAGAAGGGACAGAAGCAGGAAGATGCCAGTCAGAGCCCAGCAGGCTAGGTAAAAGGGGTTGGCTGCTTCCTAGGAAGCTTTGGCTGAAGCTGAGATGGGGAGGGGAGGAAGGTTCTCCACTGTCTTAATCAAAATGCCAAGCTTGGTCAGGTGCTTAACTTTGACTGTATCTTTTAGTGGAGCCTGGGAAAATATAGTTTTGTCTTACAGGGTTGAATTTAAAGCCCTAAGTTGCATATTGTCCAGGAAAGGGAGCTCGCTTTGCAAGTTAAGAACATAAGAATAGTCATATTAGGTCAGGCCAAAAGTCCATCTAGCCCCATACCCTGTCTTCCGATAGTGGCCAATGCCAGATGCTCCAGAGGGAATGAACAAAACAGGTAATCAGACAATGATAAACCCCATTGCCCAGTCCCAGCTTCTGCCAAACAGAGGCTAGGGAAACCATTCCTACCCATTCTGGCTAATAGCCACTGATGGACCTATCCGCCATGAATTTATCTAGTTCTTTTTTGAACCCTATTAACATCCTGGCCTTCACAACATCCTCTGGCAAGGAGTTCCACAGGTTGATTGTTCGTTGTATGAAGAAACACTACTTTTTGTTTGTTTTAAACCTGTTGCCTATTAGTTTAATTTGGTGACCCCTGATTCTTCTGTTATGAGAACAAGTAAATAACTTTTCCTTATTTACTTTCTCCACATCAGCCATGATTTTATAGACCTCTGTCATATCCCCCTTAGTCATCTCTTTTTCAAGCTGATAAGTCCCAGTCTTATCAAACTCCAGTATGTATTACTTTAAAATTCATCTGCCATTTTGTTGCCCAGTCACCTGATTTTGTGAGATCCCTTTGAAGCTCTTCACAGTCTGCTTTGGACTGAACTATTCTAAGCTTTGCTAGTTCAAATAAACCCGTGACAGATGGCAACAAAGCTCTCATTCTGGATGCTCAATTGGCAAAATCATTATGAGACTAGCATGTGAATATTAAAACCATGTATTAGCTTTGGGAGGCGTGAAGAGAAGAGCTTCTCTCAAATAAGAAATACTTGTGTAAGTGTTACAAGTAATCTCACAGTACAGGATCAGATAGTGGCGAATGCATAGAGGGAAGATTTTGCCCTCCGCTATTTAACAGGCCAGTAGTACAGTGGAACACCAGATAAGCAAGCAAAGAAGACAAAAAGCCTCTTGCCCTCCTCCCATTCCTGATTGTTGTTTAATGCACAATGTCTGGATGCATCCAGGAACTATTAATACCTCAGCACATGGGACTTCACAAATCTAGCTCCTTAAGTACTTTTGTGACACAAGGGTCTTTTAAAAATGGAGATTCAAGTTCTCTGCTTGCAGAGTCTTGCAAAAGCAGGAAGGGAATTACTCTAGGAAGAATGAATCTCCTTCAGGAAGTGCCTGATATTTAGCCTAGGAGGCAGGAGATGGAAAAGATAAGTTCAGAAGAGACAATCTGCTTTTCTACCAATCAGGCTAGTGGCTATCCATCAGTGACATGTACTTCTTGGGAAAAGGTCTGAACAGCAAGGCAGGCAAAGCCAGAAAGACAAGAATTTAAGACTCCCCTTCCTTCTTGCATACTGGCTTCCCTATAGCCTCATGGCCACAACTCTGGCCAGAGTTCTGGGAATTTGTTGAAATCAAGACTCTGATTTAATTTTTAATTGGAGCGTGAATCTAATGTTATCCTTTAACCTCACTGCTAATATTCGTTATGATTTTCTATAGCTTTTCCTGAACATCATAATTTATATTTGAATTTCTAGTCTCCTACATCCCCCACCCTCGCCATTGTAGATAATTTGAGATTGAGAAGAATGCTAAAAATAATAGTTATCTTCACATTCTCTCCTATCCCAGCCCCATCTCCCTGCAGCAATTTGCTCCCTACTCCTCCAGTTTCTAATCCTCTCAGACCAGATATTTCATGTACCTAACAGAGGGGACAGGCTGCAGCTGATGCCATTGCTCCTCTACAGCCAGCTGGCAGATTGACCGCTGCGCAGAGCGGTTGGCTGCATCCTCACGGAAGACTGAACACAGACTCCAGGGTCTGTATTTTTCTCTCTGGACTCAGCACTAGTAAGTCTCAGGGAGATGTGATCTCGAACACATTATATGGTATCGGTCCAGACCAGAATGCAAGACAACCAGCCATGTCAAACCCCTAGTTCAGATTACAGAAGAGTCTGTTATGATCATTTAGTTTGACCTCGTGTGTGACAAAGGCCACAATATTACACCCCATGATTCCTGAACTGAACCCAGTAACGTACAGTTGAATCATACCATATTTATTAGAAAGACAATCTTAACTGCAAGTCCCCAAGTGATCACTGGAAGCTCTTTCATACTTTGCCCTATATCAAGTGTCATCCACACATATCGTTGTCATGAGCAGTTGAGAAAGAAAGAGAGTGACCCAATAGGTCTTTTCCTTCTTTAATTTCTCTGATTCTTTAATTCCTGAACACTAACCAAACATCTGATGTTAACAGACGTAAAACAATTAATAAACCACACTGGAAAAGAGAGAATTCTAAGTGGCTGGAACCATCCTGTAAAGCAGAATTTGCATACTGTCTCCAGTCAGTCCTATCTCATGCCTCATTCATTTGATTTTTCCCAGTCTGGTTGGGCTTTTATCTTTTTATCTTTTCAGTAATTGTTGTTGTTGTTGTTGTTTTTGCTGCTGCTCCTTGGCTGCTGTCAGTGTATTTCATTATTTTGCTACTGAATGAAGGTTAAGCTTGGAAGCCTTCCAGAACTGAGCAACTGTTGCTGATTCAGAGAAAATGTTTGTCTTCAGGCAGTGTATTCACTTTGTAGTGTTGCCAGAACATTTCTGGATGTAGCAGTTTGCAATCATGTCAGCAGCAAGTCACTTACAGACTTTTTAGGAAGGGACCCTTTATGGGTCCTGGGTCTCATGAGGAATAGTGAAACACTTATCTGCCTCAAACTGATCCCTGCTGTCCTTATGACCTCCCAGACTGAGAGGTGCAAGAATGCTCTTTGGGCCTACAAAGGGATTTTTGGCTATACTGGATAACTGTGATTTCTGATAATATCATCAGTATTTGACCCTTATAAACCTGTTCAATCCTTTTGTGTGGTCAAATGAAAAGACTATTTCAACTTTTTCAAGCATGCAAAGCCCTAGGGGACCAAATGGCAGAGGGGATTAGTTATGGATTGCAGGGCCTTCCATACTGAAGTCACCAATTCAAAGCCTGACACGGTTAGGAGAAACTGAAAGCTATTACCCGCTCATGTCATGTGCGGGTTTATGTGACATGAGTAAGTCGATGTGTCTGTATTACCCCTCTCATAACTATTACCCTTGTAGACATTCTCAGAGCAGAAGGAATGTCCAGCTCATCCCAAGCAGCTTCTGTAATACAGGACTGAGGGACACTGGAAGGCTAAGGAGTATATGGGAAGTTGGCAGTATGGCACCTAGTCTATGCATAATCAGAGGGGCTTCAGTCCCTAGAACTCAAGCTTTCCCCATATTCCAAATTCACCAAAGAATAACAGTGAAGAAAAACATTGTTTGTACGAGTTAGGTGAACAGGAACGTGGTTTGTACGAGTTAGGTGAATCCATAGACTGGCCAGATGGTCACCTTCTGAATAGTGACAAAGATATGATGCATGGATGCTGTGTGCAATCTCACAAAGAGACAACATTCATAAAGGTATGTCGTGGAGTAGGGCCTTTGAGGGTTTCAAGTCCCCAATCTGGCCTTTATCTGGTATCCTGTCTCCTGTGACAGCAAGTCAGGCCTGCTGGGGGATATTTAAGAGCTGTCTGTGGTTCTCTGTTGTCTAATACATCAAGTGTCAACTTCTTGTGTGTACATTCAAGCTCATGCATGACTCCACCCCAGCCAATATCTCAGTCAGGTTTCTTATCATTTTCTGTGTCAGTGCAGGCTTGACTTTTTTATGTCTTTGAGCAAAGCTGCCCTCTTCCCTCTTGCGTAGCAATGAGCATGTTGTCAGTGACTACCAAATAGTGTGGAAATAATAGCTCCTATGTCAACATAAAGCCTGAGGAACGTAGGACATGAAAATTACAGTACTTCTAAGATGCAGAAGGTGATCGGTTTCTAATGATTACCCCGCTAAATGGAGAGTGGGTATTTCAAGTGAGGAAGAGGAAGAAGACTCAGTATATTACTGGGTCAATGCAATAACCTGAAA